CATTTAACAAATTGACGTCAATTTTTTATGCGTCTGTCCTCTTATTGATGATAAATTGCGTCATAACATTGTCAAAGTGGCTGTGGAACCGCGAGCCGCAACTTGCCGTAAACAAAGATAAGTGAATTTTATTCAAAATGACGCGAGCATTGGTCAGTAGCTTTTCTCGCCTTTTGATTGGCTACTTAAAAAGTCAATAAAATCTTATTGGTTAAAAAGTTGGCAGTTTGAAAGCTGGAAGTTGAACTCGAAAGCTTGCATAAATTAAAATTTTATCCGTCTGTACTCTTATTGATGATAAAAATGAGCTAATCAGCGCGCAAGAAATTAAACAGTTATTGTAAACAATAGCTTCGCACTGAGGCAGGAATGTTTGTTTCACTGTCACACTCGCGCTTCGTGTACGTCACGCGTGTGTTCCTTTACACTTGAGCGACGAATTTTAACAAACAGGCGACTTTAATTTTAGACCTTCAACATAAACACAACATCCTTCGACATATTGACCTCGTGCTCGCTGTCACGCTCGCAAGTTCTTCTGGTATATAGTTACTACAATTCTAATGGCCAGCGGCCGCTCCAGGCGCTTAATGCCTTCCTGAACCACTCGTGTCTAATTGAAACTGTCAATTAACAATTGCGACAATGCTCTTAAAACGTCTAAGAATCTTTGCATGCAAATTTAAACCTATCATTTATTTAATTTCACCTTATTTCAAATTGCCGATGATTTATCATGATTAGAACTGCTAGTTGCATCAGTGCTTTCCAAATAGTTCCTATCCAGATTTAAGTAGCGTGTATTTCAGTGTTAAGTAGTGACCTGTCTTAGTTTGAACTTCTTTCGCAGACTGTTGTATAAATACACAGAGTGTTTCAAAAAAGTTGGCTTGCCTGTCTTTGACATTCCAAAGCAGGTTTTACGACTGGTGTACGGTGAATGTCTAATCTGGTGAGTTGTTAGACTTGAAGCAATAATTGTCACAACTATCTAAACACGGCACTCATAACCACTAGAGCGGTTTTCAACCGAGTGTCGTAAAACCAAAGCCAAAGTAATTAGTCTAGCCAATCACAAAGGACACAATCAGGCAATACAGTCAACCAATCAAAACTCGCACAAAGCGCGGGAAAACGTGTGAGAACGAGTTACGAGTGATGGTTTTACTTCTGATTGGATGAAAAAAAAAAGCGCTAGTTTTTTAAGCTAATCGCCATGAGTAGGCTTTCCGACACCCAAGTGAAAAGCGCCATATTAGCACAATAAACTTATCAGAACACGCAACCGCTAGTTCCACGCGCGGGAAAACTGGAAGAAAAACGTCAACTAGCGGGTACACAAACAAGGTTGGAGAGGTTATAAGGCTGTTTTGGCCACGCCAAGATGGCTGCCAATTTTGGGCCCAACATGCCGAATTCGAACAGCTAAAAAAGCAGTTTTCGCATACCGTTTGCGACAAAAGTGGACAACATTTTAAAGCAATCTCAGATACAAAAGTTTCGTTGAGTAAAACTTGAAGAACATGTTCCTTTACCTTTTTTAAAGTTATTTCATATTATAACTTTACAGCTAATTGAGGGCCCAAGCAAAACGTAAAATATAAAAATCAGTGTTATTTTATAAAAGGGTATAAGACATGATTACGTCGATGATTATAAAATCTTACCTAAACGCTATGAAAAGAAATGGTCTCGTAAGCGACAGAACTCAGTAGTGACTGTTCACAGTGAAAATCTTCCAGTGTCGTCGCTGACGTTATTAGTCTTGTTTTAAACGTGATCAATGATCAGGCTCTCCTTGCCCACATCAGAGATACGAGAAAAAGCGAAGGAAACAAAAGAGAATGTACAGAATGTTTCTGTACAGGATATGTTAATGTAAATGTTCTTTTTACTTGTAGGATTGGAACCTTCTTTAGCCCTGTCATGCCAGCGATGGGGGTTGTGAAGCTCTTTATTATATTCTACGTTGAGCTGGTATGAGTTGCATTTTAACCAAAGAATTACATGTACCTGAAGGACAAGTTTAAGAGTATTGAGCTATTTATAACAGCCGTTTATTCTCAAGGTGTTATCCTCAAAATTGTGGTCCCGGTCACGTGCTACATGTTTGCACCTAATCGAGTGAGCCATGAGAACTCCGTAAATTCTCTCGAGTTTGGCACTTATGTTATCTTTGAAACACTGTAAATTCCAGTTCAGCCAAGTGATCGACTTGAAAAAACCTAGCATTTCAGTAAGAATAGTATGATATAGATAGGTATGAATATGATTTGAATATGCATGACATCGCCGTCAGAGACATGCATATAAAATGCCGGTTTTCTTTGACAACATAACATTTATAATATAGCATTATTAGTCCGCACAGCATGATGGCATAATAAACCTTTGGTCCGCAATGCGTGCAGAGACCTAAATCTTATTTAGCATCATAGGCTTGCAATGCTTACCCAGAGCTACATAGTATTACTTTTGGTGTACACTTTCACGAAAAGAGAACTTCTTAAAGTAGAAGGGTTCCACCTGCATGGCGTGTGTCATGTCGTGTCTCACCACAAGCTAAAATTACCTTTTTTTTCTTTTAAGCTTGCAGTGCTGTTAAACTACCGGCCCTCGCAGAAGGCGTACAGAGCAACTCGTTCCAACCACTTGTTCACTGTTTTACTTCTTATTTCATTCTTCTTGTGCCTTGGTACTGTCGGCTGGGGCATCGCAGGGTAAGCTATACAAACCGTTAGCTTTATAGGTTACTACAGATTACCATAAAATATAAAACATTTCCTGTACTCAAAGCGCAGTATATATCTATGGTTGTCAATTATACTTATTCATTAAAGCCTAGCGCATGAAGAAATACTTTTTATCTTAAGAAATTCTTTTTACTCTCTGTGCAACTGTATTCTACTGAGGTCATCCATTAGAACAGCTTTGCTTTCTGGACGATCCTAACTCGCTCACAGTTGAGACGTTATTATATTTAGTCTGTATTTGTAAAATGCTGATTTATCTAAGGTGTAATCTGTGTACTCCATAGTTAGCTGAACTGCGCGCAGTTCAGCTAACTACGGAAGTCCAATGTTCTCTTTTTGTCTCGTGTTATCGACTTTTGTAGAACTCTCGAGTGCATTGCTGGTGGGTTGAGGAAGGGTTGAAAGCGCCCANGGAAGTCCAATGTTCTCTTTTTGTCTCGTGTTATCGACTTTTGTAGAACTCTCGAGTGCATTGCTGGTGGGTTGAGGAAGGGTTGAAAGCGCCCACGAGTAAGAACATAAATTTCCGGTTGCCGTCCGTTCTTCAAAAACTCTGTTCCTAAGTTCTCTGTAAGTCGAGCCGAAAGTCATTCGGCCATGCCACGTGACTGATTAAGTTTTGTTATCGACTGGGCGTAAAATATATACCCAAAGATACGGAACTAGTGAGTGTAATGTGATTTTTGTTATTGTATTTTTCAGCGTGAGGCCATCATGTCTTGGACCTTTTAGGTACGTATTATGAGAACGAAGTTTATTAAAAACTCGACAAAACACTAAGATTATGAGCTCGAGGCCCCTAAGAGTGAGAGGTGACAACTGTGGAAAAATCTAAATGAGATATTAATACTACCCTTGGGTGCTATTTCAGTGGAGACTTGGAGTGAAGCAACCTAGCTCTTTAGGCTTGATCTAAGCCTGTGATGGGCTCGATTCACCAGCCGCTGTTCGTGAAAGGAGCCCGCACTCCTCACCCCAACCCGTAGATCGGACTCGAAAGAGCGGCGGAAATCGAGCTGAAGCCTGAAACTGTCTGGTGTTGTAATTGAACCATAACAGTTATCAGTTTCTTTTTTCCTCTTTTTTTCAGCAATGTACACTGTAAAGCAGATGCCAGGTTCTATGACGTTCTTCAAGTCGAAATCTCATCTTGGCCATCATGGATTCAACAAATAATCAACTTCGTGACCACAGTAACCTTTATTTTCCCTATTCTGACAGTGGTCTGGTTAGTATACAATGCCGCTTTTTCTGTTACGTTAGAAAAAATGATGAACAGCTACAGCAGCTTCAGCTATCATAAATTGTCAGGTTGAACTGCATAAGGGACCTGGTTATTCCGTAGCGCTCACTAAAAACTTGCGTTTTCTTTTAACAGCTTGTTGTTGTTTTACTTCAAATCCATGACAACGTCGTTGTTGCTTACGATCGAAACGCTGAAGGATCAGTTGGCGCTGGTATGTTACTCTATTGTTATAGACTCAGATTCCGTGCTTTTGTGTGTGGTCAGTGTTTATATTCAGTCCCTACCTTATACCTTCGTGGGAGGCGCAGGGCCTGGACCCCGGATCGGAGCCCAGCTGCGCTCAATCCTTGCCGTCAAGCCCTCAGGCCGATATATTTCCCCAGTTACGGCCCGCGTGCTTGGTTAATAAGTCCTGATAACTTCACTGAGAACTGCATATTAACTTGAGGCTCTGGATGCTTATAACTAATAACTGGTCAAACATGACTGTCAGCTGAAAAATGAGACATTTTTTAAACTGAAAACTGCTATCTGAAATCTGCAATTTTTACTGACAGTTGAGACGTGGGCTGAACTTAAATCGGGCATGATGGCTGCTATAATCGCCGAAAATTTAACTGAAAACATAAATTACAGTACACCCATGCAGGCCGTCTAACATAACCCATATGTAGAGTTTGGGGATACTTGATATACTACGACGATTTAATTGGTTAATCTCTGCATTTGAATGTAAAATTATCTGCTTGGTGTTTCAGGATGGTAGAGACAAGAGATTTCTCATGGAAAAACTTTTTCGCTACGAGATGGTACATGATAAAGATGTGGACGATGAGTTGTACTCAGGCAGTGTGAAACCGAAGAAATTGAATCAAGTGAATTTGACAAAGAAACGAGAATCACTTGCGCCACCAGACGACCTCTTGTTCCAAGTGAATCAAGTGAATTCGCCCAAGAAAAGAGATTCACTTGCACCTCCAGGCGACCTCATGTTCTAACTTAGAGATATAAAGTAGCAAGCGTGTTCTTTCAGTTTAGGGTCATCAATTCAATCTTTCGTTCGAAGGGCGTCGCTGATGTCACTTCCGATGACGCACGTATACGTACCGAGCACCTCAGACTCGTTGTTTGGTGATGAAATTCTGAACGCCATATATCAAGGAGCAGCCAGTCGCTCCTCAACTCAGAATAAGCTCAAAAGGGTGATGTCAGACGAGAGAGGATGGTGAATGACGTAAATGAATTGGTGACGATCGAAGCGCAACTGAATAAATTTAATTAGAACATATATTTTGCATTCAGTTCAGTTTTGTCAAAAGTCATTTACCTCTCAGAGAACTTGCCGAATTCGCTCTAAACCAGCTCAAATAGAGTACGTTGTGATCATGGTGCACTGGCATGGAACGTTTAGTCGAATCAGGCACAAGCGAGATTTCTGCGACTCTAAGATTCTCTAAGTACATTCGACGCGAATAAAATACGACTTACTCGTCGGGCGTTACCTTTTAAGTAAGAAATCTCAAAACAGAAGTACGTTAGAATTAAGTGTAACCAGAGCAAAACCAGAAATTCAAGTTAAATTTTCTAAGATATGACAAAGGTCCTTTCAGGAGTATAGGAAAATTTCCTTCTGTTACATCGTTTATTCTGTAATTATGAAATACATGACCCATTCATTGGGGGCCGTTTCGGATGCATTTATCTTAAAATGATTATTTGCATAGATGGTTTTTATCAATAGATTGACGAGTGCAGAGTGACAATCTTTTGAAAACTTGTTTATTTATTATTTTTAATTACCTAATTAATATTTATCAG